ATTGGGACAGAAGGAAGAGGGCATAGGAAACTGGTTGTCTGAGAGAGTGGGAAAGCAGTGGCCCCAAAGACACAGAACTCAGAGACTGGCCTGAGGCCAGAAATATACTCTTTACCCACAAGACAGACTTGCCTGGTGCCAGCACTGGGCAGCTTCTGTCCTCTACACTGCATTCGGCTTTCAGAGCTTCTGATTCTTCTGTCAGAAATTCAGAAGCCAAAGTTCTTTTCACATTTTGGAGAAATAATATACAGGGACCACGTAAGACATTTATCATTTTATCTCTGGTAATAATGGAATCTGAGGCATTCTATCAACTGGCAACACTTTGTCTCAACTACTTCTGTTTGTTCTATTCGTTGGACCAGTCTGCTACTGGGCAAGTTTTCCCTCTTCATACAGCTGAACTTGCTAGGTGCCCCAACCCTAGTTGGAATTCAGTACCTGCTTGTTAAATGCATTAGACTTTTGCATTGTTCCTTCATTCATTCAGTCATTCATTCATTCTGTAAATATCAGTAAGTGCCTACTACATGCCAACATCATATAGGCACTTTTTCCAAGCAACACCTCTCCTCTACACAGTAATTCTGCTTAACCTCCATGAAGTCTTTCTAGATTCATCCCATATGGGTTGAGCACTTCACTCGCTGCCTGTCTGCTCCAAAGCCTTCAGCATTTCTCCCATTTTCCTCAACATGGGGCACTTCCATGGTATTCCTAAACAGTTCATGGGCAGCAGATGTTTCTGCCTTCCCTGCATCCCTACTGCCCTCTTTTGATAATAGCTCCCTGGAGAATTCAAATTTTAAGCAGAGAGACAGATAGAAAACATTCAAAGCATTTTTGATGGCAGCTTCCGGAACAGACTGCCCTTCCTCGTAGATTTCAGGAGCTTCCTGGTGGTTACTGTCCCTCCACAGGTTCTAGCAGCTACTCACACAAACCTCAACAAGTGAGCTGGAGTTTCTGCCAGTTTTCTTTTTGAGCCTTTACTTGTGATCTACTCTTAGTATGTAGTTTTTCCCAAGGCATACTTTTTCCCTCTCTGCTCAATCTGAGCAGGAATCTCCTCTTTGCTTTCAATGCTAAGCCAACAAACCCTTTGAGCACCTACTTCAGGATGAAGAGTATAAATAAATAACTTCTCAAAAATTTCTTTAGAGATTAAATATAATGAACAATACTGTTTTAAAATCATTTTTAATAAACTATTTTTAAGAGCTTGGAAACAAATAATGAGTCCTTTGATATCAAGATAGTACAAATTAAGAGTCTAAGATTATAGCTATCAAAGATAAATGAAGTAAAATGAGGAATGGAATTTACTGTACTTCATTTTTTAATTCCTTTTTATCCGGAAGGTTGCTGTAAGAATAAAATGATGTGATGTAAAGTGAATAGCACTGTGTTTGGCACATGGTAAATGCTCAACAGATGTTGTTAATCTGGTTCAAACTTGAGGCGAAATTGACAATGTTTTCACGTTAACTACCTTAAAACTTTGCAAACGTTAAAAGATACAGATTTCTAAAGATAAAACCATGACTCTCATAGAAATATAATATGAACGCATGTCAGAGATTGTATTTAACTACTTAATTAATGAAGGGACCATGAAGATGTTACAATTGTCTCAAAGGAGAATTCAAACATCAGATACCCACATAACACGGTATAGAATGAATTTAGAAATAAATGCAAAAATTGCTTTTACTGAAACTATTGATCCCCCTAAGAACGCTTCATTTGTATCTCTCTATATAAAGAATTGTTTGCATCTATATCAGTTACCTGCAATTCACAGAGTTTTAAAATAGCTGTACTACACTGAAAGGTGCAAACACCATAGAATCCCATAGCCCAGAATGATATGATTTAGGCCTAGTTTTCTATGGAAGACACCAGTAATCCTTTTAATCCATGCCAAAATCTTTTACAATTTTTCTTGACACATCGATCTTAAGCAGAAGTGTTTTGCTGAATCAAACCTATTCTCCTTTAAGACAAACTCTTCCCTGATTATAACATTATACATTCAAATTATAAAGCACTTAGATAGTAAACTATAAAGAAAATAAAAATCTTCATAATCCTATCACTCCAAGGTAACTACTATTAATGCTTAAAGTATATCCATCTGTTTTTGTCTAAGTATTTGTGTGTGCACGAATGGAAATATGTTAACTGTTTCCAACTCAGTTTTAATAAACTTTGTTATAGAAAGTTATCTATTATCTAATTGTGTTTTTATAATCCACATTGTAATTTACTCTTTTCCTTAAGATCAAAAACATTTTCCCTTGTCATCATTTTTAATAGCTACAAAATATTTCATTATATGTTAGAACCACAACAAATCCACTACTATTAGAAATTTAGGTTGTAACCAGTGTTTAGTTATTATAAATAAAACTATGTACCCATCTTCTGACAACCTTTTTCTTGCAGTGGTACCATTTTACTGAAAAAGTCAAACATTTCATATGGCATCTGAGTTACCAGAAGATGTTGCGATCCTTAAGAGTGCCTGATGTGCCTCTTCTGCTTTAGCTAACAGGCCTACCTATTGCATCAGTGGCAGACAAGGATTTGAATTAGAACTGGAATTACCAGCTACCCAGAGCAACCACCCTTGTCATTTTCATGAGACACCATAAAGACTTAGTCACGTTTGGAAGTTTAAAATAAGAACTAAGATCATCATGAGCTTTGACAGTCAAGGCCATTTAATTCAAGCTGATTTAATTCAAGATAATTTTTAACACAAAAATGTTTATAAGGAAAAATACATTATTTAAGGGCTTAGTTTCTTAGAATGAAGAGCCTGAGGAAATGGAGAAAAACAGCTTTCGGGTGGGTAACAAATTGTCGAATCTTTTCCTCGAAATTTTTTTTTTATATGAGATAGTATTGGATTAGAAAAAGTAATGTACCAATAGGAGTATGACATGAAACAACTGGCTCCTCTCATTAAAATATCAGATTCAAGGAGAGGGTGTAGCTCAGAGGTAAGGCACCAGACCGCTGACCAAGAATATCAGCTTCAGTTCAGCTGTCTTAATTTTAAAAATTTGAAAAGAGTCCAGAGAAAGGAAACTATTAAAATGTAAAATAAGGGATCCAAAGTGCTACAAGCTACCATTTAAAGGAAGTGGTTGTTGAACTTGACTCAGAGTAGGTGCTCAATGTTTGCTGAATAGTAGAGGTAATAAAAAATTGACATTTAGCTGTGTGATTTTCAGGGGGATGGGAATCACTTAAGCTAGTGCCTTCATTTTAATTCATAAAGTCCACCACTGTCTTCCAACTATTCAAAGATAATGTAAGAAAAAACACTGACCATTTTATTCTCTTGCAATAAAGAATGGACTTTTTCCCATCAAAAAGGCTTCAAATGGAGCCACAGAGTCTAGTTTGGACTAAGAAAAATACTATTATAATAATGATCAGATAATTGAAACACGCTGCAGAAGGGACTTTTAGAAACAATATCCATAGAGATCTCCAAAAATAGTACAAACAAGGACAGTATAGGGATCCCATAGAAATAAAAGATTTTTCAAAAAACAGAAGGTAGACCAGATTCAATGTTCAGGTCTTCTCCAGCTCTAGAGGCAAACTGAGTAGATTTTTGCATGTATACAATAAATTGCTGATTTCTCTAAAATAGACACAATGGTAGATTGAAGCTTGCTACCTACTGCTCAAGTAAAAGTTGCAAATGATGTAAAATCAGGCAATAACAATCTAGCAACGTTAGTGTGCCTACCACGTGCCAAGCATGAACCAGGTAGGCAATACCAACTTGGCCACTGTCAGAAAGAGAACACTCAATGGGATGGATGGCAGGACTGAGATAACATGGTAATTCTCTTGGTCTTATGTTCCTTCTCACAACTTCTGGCAAAATCCAAGCCACAGAAACTACCCCATGGTGTTGATTCCTCCCAATAGTGATGGAAAATCTCACTATTTCCTTGGCAGGCCCTGTCACTCTTTAGTGTTCAGCATTGTTTGCTATTCAGTCCGTTCCATTCAACCTTTAAATATATATTATTTGTCAGGCACTTTACAAAGCACAAGAAATACCGAAAGCACTTTTCTCAATGTGCTGCTGACTGATTCCTAGATTCTGTAAATAATCAGGTCTGCCCTCACTTCTACTCATACTCCCTCAGGCAAAATACCTTAACGTGTAAAAATAATAGCCACGTTTCCCTTCACATGGAATCTGAGCATGGCTAACTGACAGAGAACTGAAGCCACAGTGATGTGGGGTCTCCAAATGGCACACCTAAAAGGTGCCACAGGAGGAAAAGTCTTAACTCACATTTTCAACAGACCCGCCCTTTGACTATTATCTCAATTAAATATGAGAAGCTGTACTGTCGTTTTAAGTGTTTAGAAGGAAAAAAACCCATGTAACATGTCTCATGGTATGCCTGTTCCTTGAAGAAAAAGATATTCAACTTCAAAAACAAATCGATATTCAGTTACACATTTTTTAAGTATTGTGAAGAGCAGAAAGATGGGAATAGGGTGGTTTGGACAGGGGCATTCCTTGCTGGTTTAGGCTGTCTTGTATTTAATTATACTAAGAGAAAAAAATGTTTTAAGTAAAATCTTTCAGTTTTCTTGTACTATACTCAATCATTCTAGAGATAAGACACATCTGTAGTTTTTTTAAACATAGGGTATGGGAAAAAATAGAATCCAGCACAGGAGGGACAAGTAATAGTAACATAAATATGCTGACTCCTTGATTCTAACAACCAAACTGTAAGATGGAAATTTTGTTTTGTTTAAAATCTCTATCCATACCATTGATTTTTTGCTAGCAATGTAGCAACTAACCCCTACTTTCGATATTAGGAGAATTACCTAAGTATGATAGTGTTTCTTTCAAAATAAAGTTTAAGTGAACACAGAAAAGATGAAACAAGGACAGTAAGCATTTCTCAGAAGCAGCAACTTCATGTTGGAAATTGGCCTCTTACCTTCAAAGAACTGCTGCAGAGCCTCATTTTCACCCACCACATCCATGGTGCTGTGGTCCTAGTACTATTTCCTCATCAAACAATGGTTATCAGACCTCAGGAAGTAAGTGTTGTCCTTTTGATTCGAAGCCTACGAATGCTCTTGAAAAATCTTCATTTTCTTTTTATTGGAGTGAAGCATATCTTCTGCTATCAATTTGTTCCCAGAAAGACGGTTGAGTTTTCAAATGTGATTATAAAACTGGAAGAATATGCAACCATGCATTTAAAAAAAAATCATAAAGGAAAGTGGTAGCAAATTCATCTATCTTAATATAGGGAACTGTTTCTACTCTGCCTTTCGTCTTTAAGGACCTTTGTCCTTAGTGACACATGTAATTACATAAATGGGTAATAAATACATAGTCTTATCTCCGATTTGTCCTTTTACACCAGTATATCTCCACCTTTATCAACTAGATCCATTTAGCTACCACCAAGAAAAGATACTTATTTTTTTAACTTAGAAAAAAGGAATAAATCAATATAATCACTTTTATAAATACCTACAATCACAAGTAATTTTAAAAGGCTTGTGATAATGAAAAGTTAGAATTTGTTAAATATTTCCAAATTTACAGCAAAAACTTAAACACCTTAATATAAACCTGGTTTATTTCCTCTACAGCTTATTTGCTTCCAAAGCATAAACCATAAAGCATGAGAAGTCCCTCTAATAACAAGCAACAAAAACAGCATTACCAATTTAATAATTCTCACAGCTGAGTCACTAGTAGCTGGATTCACTCCTAAATATAAAACCGTACTCAAATAAATGTTTTATTTTCACTGCTTAGCTATAATTCATTTAATCATAGCCTAAGAAAATACAATTAGGAAATTATCCTTTCAGCCCCTTCCTTTTCTCTTTTTTCCCAAATATTTGGAAAAAAAAATAGTACCATAAAATATTCATATACCTACACTTACCAATTACTGACTCTCTGAATATTATATATTTTTATATAAAAATATATTTATAAAATATATATTTTTAACATATATATTTCATACGACTTTCCTTTATAAAAATATATAAAATATATTTTTATATATTTATATATTTTATATGTGTATATATATATCATATATATATCATATATATATCATATATATATCATATATATCATATATATCATACTTGTCTTTATGGATCTGAGGCTCAGTGTGACCTTCAAAAGAAGCTCCTAAACTTTTTTTCTAAGCTAAACTTAGTTTGCTCATTTTCAAGTAACAGGAAATGTGTGTGAAATTTTAAAATACATGTTTGAAATTATGTCACCTACTAATTCTAATAATGAAACAATAGACAAATTTGGAAAATATTATCATCTCATATATAATTTCTTCCAGTCTCCAAAATATTTTTTATGGCTTTTTGATTTCTGATTAAGGACCCAATGGATGCCCACGCACTGTCTTTGGTTATGTCTTTTTAAAATACAGAACAGTTCCCTTGTCATTTTGGTTGGTTTGTGCTCCTCATGATTTGGGGTCTTTTTTTACAGTCCAGGCTCAATGCTTTGTAGAATATCCCATTTTCCGGATTTGTCTGTTATTTCATTATTATAATTAGTAGGTGACATAATTCCAAACAGATATTTTAAAATTTCACACATCTATAAGTTACTTAAAAATGATTAAACTAAGTTTAGCTTAGAAAAGGTTTAGGAGCTTCTTTTGAAGTCACATTGAGCCTCAGGTCTATAAGGACGAGTCATCAAGTTGTTTAAAGAAATGAATTTTCAACAATTGTGTGAAGCTGTCTGCTGCGTGCAAGAAATAAAAAGATGAATAAATAATAGTCTCTGCCCTCCATAAACTCAAATCTAGGGCATGAGAAAAACACAAGTGACTGTAACTCAGGGCAGACTGATGCTGGGGAAAATGTCTCAAGAAAACAGAGGAAGGAGAGTAATTTAATCTGGGAGGAACTGGAAAGGCGCCACAAAGAGCTAGGATGTAAATACACTTAAACAGTGGGTAGGGTGGTTTTTCTATTTTATAGAAAACTAATAATAACTGCTCATATTTATGGGGTACACAGTGATTATTTCCATACATATAATGTGTAGTGATCAGATCAGAATAATTAGCATATCCATCACCTCAAACATTTATCATTTCTTTATGTTGGAAATCTTCAACATCCTCCTTCCAGCTATTTGAAACTATGCGTTACTGTTAACTACAGTCAACCTATGGTGGTACAGGATATACTAAACAATAAGTATGTTTCTTGCAACACGAAAAAAGCCCTGGAAGGCAAATAGCACAGGTACAGAGATTGTGTGCCTAGTGCAGTGAGACAGGAAATTGGAAAATAGGCTGAAGAAAGATGGTGGTAGTTTATTTCCAATTTTTATGGACACGTAATAGTTGTACATACTTAGAGGGTACATATGTTTTGATACAACCATACAATGGTAATAATCAAATGAGGGTAATTGGGGTATCAATCACTTCAAACCTTTATCATTTGTGTTGGGAACATTTCAAATCCATTCCTTTAGTTAATGTGAAATAGACAATAAATTACTGTTAACCGTATTTCACCTGTTGTGCTACCAAACACTAGATCATATTCCTTTTATATAGCTGCATTTTTGCACCCACCTCCCAAGCCTCATTACCCTTCCCAGCCTCTGCTATCCACCATTGTATTTACTACTTACGGTGGTAGATTCTGAATGTAATTTGACTACATGCATCATATTCATTCTAAATGTATCTATTGATAGTTTCTATCTGGATGGGTGTGGGACATGATACAATCCCATCTAACTCAGAGAGATTTCTGTGTCAGAACGCGTTTGCTGAGGCAATAACCAAAGTTTAAGCAGTTAAGAAGCTACTGCAAAATCCAAGTAGGCTGTAGTCGAGCCTGAAGTAAGGTGACGTAGAACAAAGCACTGGTTACTGACTGGGTATAGGCAGCAAGGATGAAGTCAAATGATTTTTTTAAAGGATTTATATGCCTTTATAAAGTAAAATATGAATTAAGATGCCTAAAACATGTAGCCTCTGGTTAACTCTAGACTCCCAGGGAAGCTCCTAGCCAAGTTTCCTAGAGGCCACTGGAAATAAGACATCACACTATAATCCACTGCCAAGTGATGATTCTGGATCCTGTCCACTAGTTCACCCACAGACTTCATGTTCTCACCAGCACAGTGATGTGGCAGGGAGCACCACAGAGAAATAAATTAGATTTCATTTAATGGCCCGAGAAGCTAAGGTTAGATTTGGGGTTCCGAACTGAAATACCTCCACGGCCCAGCAGATAAGTGAGTAAAATGGGTCTCTTAGCCTTGGTGTCAGGGAGAGAGACTCCAGGATGGTAGGTCATAGAGCAAACCAGGAGTGCATGCCCTGTGCAAGGGTGTAGCCAACCAACAGGTGGAGTCACTCAACTTCACCCAAGTGTTGCCATTCAAGAATGTGGGCTCAGTGTTGTCAAAACAGCAAATTTTAAAAGAGCAGCTTGAAATGCAAATTTTAGATTTCAAATGTTGGCAATTGTTTAAAAACAAGATGGACAAACAGAAAAATAAACCAAAACACTGTCAAGGACAAACAGCACATCGTGTGAAAACGTAATGGAGTCCACAAAATACAACCTTTGTGCCAAGATCTGCAGAAAGTCAAGAGAATTGAGAAGGAAGTTGTTGGGGGGGAGGGGACTAGAAAATCTCTATTACAGAGTCCAGAGCACTCCGCTGAGAGCACAATCCAGCTGGTGGAAACGGGATTTAAGTGGAAATTCCTCTGTGAATAACAAATACGACACGTATTTCCTTGATTACGGTCTTTATATCTCTTACATTTTCCAACTCTCTTGACACCCCCATTTTGCACACATTCAGTGAAGAGTTGTCCTCTTGAATAGTAATCTAACCTAGTTGTGGTTTGGGTTTGCTTTGGTATTGACATTTCCTAGAGAGCTCCAAAAGATAAACAGATAAAAGCTGAGCTACTTCAGTTAAATCTGGAGATGTGGTGATGGGAGCTTTGTCTCCCTCATGAGACTGTCCCTGAGAGCTGTAGTTCTAGAATCTAATCCTCATGACCTCAGACGTTCCTCGGGAAGTAAACTGTGTGAGAACTTGTTCTCCCTCGAGAAGCTGCCTTGAGGAAGGGTTTCAATTCTTTAATATTTTAGCAAATTTGCTCCTCTTCTACAGTTTTTGTTTTGCAAATTTTCATCAAGTTTTTTAAAGCTAATATTCATAATTATTTCTCTGTTAACAACTACCACTATGAAAACTTTTCTATTGAGTTTGGATTTTTTTTCTAAGTGCAAGCCACTAAAAGGGCTTTAAGCAGGGAATGGACATTATCTGATTTTTGTTTTATAAAGATTCCTGTGGCTGCTGTGTCAGTGATTGTAGGAGGGCACGGGTGGATGCAAGGATAGCAGACATTAGCACAGAAACTCAGGTGAAAGAGATAATTGCTTGGACAGTGTGGTAGCAGTGGATACGGTGGGAAGTGGACAGATTTAAGATGTTTCCAAGACAGCTGATGGAATTTGCTGATAACTGGATTGGGAGTGACAATGACAAATAAAGGAACCCAGAATACGCCCCAGAATTTTGTTTAAGCAACTGAGAGTTCAGCCATGGCAGATTTCTAAGCACAAAAGTTAAACACAAATACAAATTCATACTGCATTGGACTCTTTTTAAGCAGTGTCTTATTTTAAAAAAACAAACATTTTATCTAGGAAAAAATGCAACAATGAAAACTTTTGAAAACAAAAGACTATGAATAAAAGCAGACCCATTTTAGACTTTGGATGCACAGAACAAAAACACATAGGATTCTTGTGGTGGTGATGGGAGTAAGCAGAGGTAACAGGCTGCAAGTTATTTTAAGGATTAAGATCCAATGTTCAGAAACCAAATCTTGTTCTTCCAATGTGGATCCTTAGTCAAAGGCTGTGAATTGTCTTCAAGCCAAGAGAAACCATGAAGAACACTTGATTCAGTCTTCACTGGAGGCCAGAAAGGAGTGGCAACTTACCTGGCCTTCCCTGTTTTCGGGAGCCAAACCTGGACCAGAATGCAGGTCTGAGTGACTCTCGACCCAGAACTGTCTCCATTAAGCCAGGCTCTCACCCCAGCTCTAAACCAATTTCTAAAACCTTGTCCAAGAGTCCTCCTCTTTAGAACTGGTAATCTTAGCAATTAAATTCTGTGTAGAAACACTCTCCTGAACATAATTCGCACGGTGGTTCTTCCTTTTCTGTTGCTTTGCTCTTCCTAACAGTTCCTCCTTTCGTCTTTGCAGGCTGCTTCTTCTCTGTCATGTAACTCAGAGCTCTGTGCTGTACTTCATCTCCAAAATGTCCCTAAAGCTCCCATCTGATCCCATAGCTAACCACTCCTAAAATTATCTCCTGGACTGACCTTATTAAATTTAGACTTGTATATCCAATACCTACTTAACTTCTCCACTTTGATGCTCAGTGGGCACCTCACATTTGATGTATTGTCCAACGTTGAAATTCTGTCTCTATTTTGCACGTATCCAAATTTTCCCCCTCCATGTATTTCCCCATCTCAACAAACTGCAATAGCTCAAGCCAAAAGGCTAAGATTCTTTCCTTTCTTCTCTCTCAAATGCAATTCATCAACAATCTTGTCAGCTTTTATGTTTTATTTTTGGAACGAAGGCAGACATAATTGGGCTAATAATGCTTGGTTCATAATACACCACCGATGTTCCATGCATAATTCTTATTCATTTGTTCGTGCATTTATTTTGTTTTTAAAAATTTTTAGAGGGGGGCATGCTCTATGTTGCCCAGGCTGGAATATAGTAGCTATTCACAGGTGAAATCATAGCACACTAGAGCCTTGAACTCCTGGCCTCAAGGGATCTTTCCACCTCAGACTCCCAGATAGCTGGGACTATAGGCACGCACCACTACACCCAGCTAATGTACTTACTTTTAATGACAAATGAACCACCCCCAAACCCACCAGCTAACCCAGCAACTAAAACATTACCAGTGACTTACTCATAGATTTGCTCCTCCTCTACCTTTCTCACACCCAGAGGTAACCACTATCTTGAACTTTATTACTACTTTTTAGGTTCTGTCACATGTCAATGCCTAAACAGCTGTTCAGTTTTAGCTGTTCTTGACTTTTATGTCATAGTTTTCTCAGAATTGCTTTTTCATTCTGAATTATTGTGTTGCATGTAGCTGGTATTCATTCATTTTGCTGCCATGTAACAATCATTCTATAAACACATTACACCCTCTGACACATAAACATTTTAATTTATTCCAGAACACTCTTACATGTGTGTTCTGGAGAACTTTGTGCAAGCATTTTTCAAGTATATAATTAAAAGTGAAATTGCTGATTCATGGGTATATGATCTTGTTTTTTTTGAGTCAGGATCTCACTGTCACTCAAGATAGAGTGCAGTGGCACAATCATGATTCACTGCAGCCTCAACCTCCTGGGCTTAAGCAATCCTTCCACCTCAGCTTCCCAACTAGCTGGGACCACAGGCATGTGCTACCACGCCCAGCTAATTTTAAAAATATTTTGTACAGATGAGGTCTTCCTATGTTGCCCAAGCTGGTCTTGAACTTGTGGGCTCAAGTGATCCTCCTACCTCAGTCTCCCAAAGAAGAGGCATGAGCCACCAGGCCCGGCCCAACTTGTCTAGTGAATGGTTTTTCAAGGTGGATATACCAATTGATACCCCTATCAGCAATATGTGAGTGATACTATTGACTAAAACCCTCTTGACTTTGTTATGTTTCTTCATTTTCACCAATCAAATGAATTTGAACACGTCACTGTTATCTTCATTTACATTTTCCTGATTAAGAGATGAAAACCTCTTAATATGTTTATTGGCCCATAATGCACTTCTAATTGTGTGGAAAAACTGGTTCAGTCTTTTGCCCATTTCTGTGACATTGTCCTTTTTTGTTGGTTTGTAGAATTTATATATACATTCTTGATACTATTACCGGCTATAAATGTTTAGTATCTTCTCTCAGTTTGTAGTTTGGTTTTATTTTTTAAGTTTTATTTTTTAGAGATGGGGCCTCCCTATGTTGCCCAGGTTGGACTTTGGACTTGAACTCCTGAGCTCAAATAATCTTCCCATTCAGCCTTCCAAGTTTTGATGGACAGAATTTTTTTTTTTTTTTTTTTTTTGGTGGAGACAGTCTCTCTATTTTGCCCAGGCTCATCTCAAACTCCTGGTCTCAAGCAATCCTTCTGCCTCTGCCTCCCGAAGTGGTGGGATTATAGGCATGACACCATACCTAATCACTGATGCACAATTCCTAAGTTAAGAATTTGTAATACAGCATAATTTATTTTATTTTATGGTTATCTTTTATGGTTTCTTTCTGCTTCCAGTCTAAGAAGTTCTTCCTAAAGGGAATAGGATCAGGAAGATAATCACTTATATTTTCTAAATATATATCAATTACATTTTAACCTATAATTCCAATATATTTTCTACATCATCAGTCTCAATTTTAAAGAGCATGCTTCTAGTATATCAGGTTGAAAGTATTCTTTCCTTTATAGATTACTGAGTTATTATTAATAGGTATACTGATTTTCTTTAGTCTTTTTATTTATCCTTTTTAAGTCATCAACAAACTTTTCCCGAGTATTCGATTACCTTTCTTTCAAATCTCTTACAGCATCTGGATTTGTTTCTAATTTAGTACTTTCTCCAAAAGTGGTTTTAGTTTGTTTGGAAAATCTTCTGAAGCCTTGATGGCACATGTTTTTATTAATGCCCTCACATTAGAATAACTATTTTTCAGAACATAAAATTCTAGGTTCAAAGTTTTTTTCATGTTCAATTTTACATTCTTGAGCTGGGCATGGTAATGATGGTTTTTACTGTAACATACTTCAGTGTCCTTTTGTCTGTGGGCTCCCATCCAGCTAGGTGGCTGAGGTCATCTACAGGCAAGATTAACCAAATCTCTTAACAGGACTTCAGAAAACCAGCTCTCTCACACACTACTGCTGTGAATACAAATTGGTTAACTTTTCTGAATGGCAATCTAACGAATACAGATCAAACACTTAAAAATACATATATATCTTGACTCAACAATTTTATCTTCAGGCATCTACATGAAAGAACTCAACAATGTCCAAGTGTACAGATAAGGCTACTCATCACAGCATTATAATATAAAAAACTGAAACAACCTCATCTCCAAACACAATTAAATTATGTTAAAATTCTATAAACAGGAATTAGGATGTATAGGTTTACCCACAGGGAAAAAGTATTTAATGTTTAGATTTAAAAAGCAAAAAAGCCTACATTTTGTTTCAAAAATATGCATATGTAAGTAGAAAATACCTGAAAGCTGAAAGGCTACTTTCCAAAAATATTAGTAACAGCTTTCTCTAAACAGAGATTGAAGTGATTTTTCACTTTTTCTTTTTGCTTTTCTGTACTTCCTATATTTCTACCACAAACCCCTTTGCTATAATTTCTCCAGTTGAGTCAGTTTTACAATTTGGAACACAGAGATCAAGTGTATACTTTGCATGTACCATTCTTTCAACCCACACCCCTCTAAACCCTTCTGACACACATCAAACTCATTTACATCTATGTTCCTCCAATATCATTATAATGGTCAACATATATAAAACATGAATACACTACATCAAGACGCTCAGGAATACATCTCTGGGATAAAATCTGACTGCCTTCTATTTTAATGAATCACCAAAATAAAGAGATTCCTTCAATTACAGAGAGCAGAATAATTACAACAGCAACTTTCAAACTTCGTAGCAGCAGAAGTATTTCTTCAAATAAATTCATTTTTGAAGCCCAGTATACAAAACAGACAAAAATAAAGCCTTTCTAGAGGTGGGGGCCTTTGAAAGTGAGTAATGTCCACTCAGCCTTCTTCCTTGCCTCTCACAAGGAGGGAAACTGCTGTGTAGTTTGAAAATTACTATTTAATACATTCTGCTACTAAATGCCATGTCAGAGCTAGAAGAGAAAACATACACACATTCAATCTAACATTTATTTATTTCCGGTGGGTTTTTTTTTTTTTGCAACTATATATTACATTCACTAGTACACCTGTAATTCTTCATAGTGTGTTCAACTGAAGAATAAGCAAACACAGCATCGGTCAGTTTAAAAGAAATCATAGTATTTCTTAGAGCAATTTGCAAAAGGGAAAAAAGTCTTAGGCCCACTCTCTGGAAATAAATATCAAGTAACCATAAAAATATTCAGCCATTTTTCAGTTATTCAAGGAGTTCACGCATGGTCCCACGCAGAGCATCAGAGTTCCTCTTTGAAATAACCCAACTTTGCCAATGACATCTCTTTTCTCAACTGCATAACTTCCCAAAACATCTGATCAACTATACAAACAGAAAAGAGAGATATTTAAATCATAAAATACCATCTTCATTATTTTTAATGTTTTGCTGAAAACTTGTTAGCTGAAATGTCAATTGTGCATTTCCTAAAGATGTACCTACATTTTTTCAATAATTCACATAAACTTTTCGACAGACTTGTGACCATCCCAGTTTTATCAATAAATAAAGCAAAAGTCACAAGCTTTGTCACAATTATTTGTTAAATACATCAGAGACTATCATTTTAGCTCAAGAAAAGGTAGCCATTTCAGTGTTCTGAGTAAATGCCAATGCTGTCACCTTAAGTTGGTATATTCAGTGCTCAATTATTTGAGTTATTCTCTTACTTATGATTCTTCTTGCTCTGCTTTGCTATATTGTGGCCATTTTACTCTTCATTAACACTAACAGAGGGTGAAGAGGAACAAAAGCAAACAAGACAATCCAGAAAACTCAGTGGCATTGTTTGTGAGTAATAAAAAGGCTTCGGATAAGGCTCAAATTAGAAATAAAAATGCACGTGGAAGATGAACTATAAATTCAATTATCTGTACTTTTTTAAAGTTCCCACTCTAAGTGGAAAAACATTGGTTCCTTATTTCAGACAATAGAAGGTCTCTGTTTACATGATCAGATTATATTCATTTAGATTAATGGTTCCCAATCATGGAAGATTCCAGTACTACCACTGCCACCACTCCTCACCCCCTGGCCACCCGAGGTCCATTTGGCAATGTATAGATAACACTTTTTACTGTCCCACGTAGGGGGTGCTATAGGTATCTAAGGAGTAAAAGCTAGGGATGCTATTAAACATCCTACAAATGCACAACACAGAATTATCCAGCTCAAAATGTCACCAGTACCAACGTTGAGAAACTCGGCTTTAGATTTAGCTGCCCTAAATCCTTTGTTAGTACAAGGCACATATAGTAAACAGATTTTAAAACTTGTTTACAAGTAAACAAGACTTGTTTAATACTTGTTTACAATAAACACACATAGTAAATGATATGTACTAAATATCATCAAGTGGAAGAGTGACAGAAACCAGAGAAGATACTACTTTTATTATCATCACCCTCACCATTCATTACTCGTAACGCTTTCTTCCTATTTTCATAAATTATCTTTCATCTTTCCTACAAACTTCTTAAACAAACAAAAATATTTTTGACAACTATACTTGACATAAATTTTCTGTTCTCTAGCTTAAATGATATCAGCCGCCAATAGGTATTCAAAAAGATTTCAGTTTTATTAAAGTCAAAAAAAGTATTACACGGTTTAAAGACTGCTTTTATGTTACCAAGCCTTTTGAAATTCAACATTAATTAGGTTATTAGGTTAACAGGTTTTATCCCTATTGTTTTAGGCATAAAAATCTAACTATATGGGATTCTAAAGAAATATAACATTTTTCAATATACCAGACCTTGAGAAAGGCTAAACTAAGTTTTTACCAGCATGACTAATTTCTCCATAGATTTAAGATTCACTAGTTTACATGATTGAAAGATGGTAGGCTTCAACTAGTATTTAAGCAAGATAATATTTTCAGTGCCTAAAAAATATAAAGACGGAAATTTCGCAAAACTTTAATTGCAAACTGGCATAGACTTGTCCTTAGCCCACTATCTGCTATTTTTATTTTTATACAATCATTTGTACTCAAGAGATACTCCTTTGGAGCTGTCAGGTCATATTAGTTTTTATGCCTGATATTTAAGATATGTAGCTATAAAACCATATAAAACTGTATTACAAAATATTAACACACTTGCATGAGGTTGGTTCTCCTGGATATATCACCTGCACATTTCTGCTGATTTAGAATATGATAATCTTTATTCCATTAAGAATTATCCTCATGACTGCTTCATTAATTCACATGTGAAAGCAGAAAATACAGGGAAAACTTAATTGTTAGTTCCATTTTGGTTTCCATCAATTAAAATAAATCAGACCACTCTGTGGGCTTGCTCATTTTCATCTCTTAAAGAGTCGATTCAATGAGCTTGGAACTCTCTTCACGTTTACCATCTGGTTTATCATACACCTCTGATGAGTTAAAACTAATCCTGCTTAAAATTCAAAATTAAGAGTAAAATGAGGCAAATAAAATAACTAAACTACAATATTTGTTTAAAGACATTTGTTCCCAAATTCTCCACAAATTTTATTAGAACTATAGAAGGAATTCAATATAAATGTACCAATAATAAAGTTGATATATGCATTACTACTTCGTCCTATACTTTTGTTGAACTTTCATGTAAAGATTCATAATTAATCAAGAACACTCACCGTCCTGCTGTTTCACGAGTCCCTGCTGAATGTATCGAATGTATGTAAAAAAGTTACATACAGAAGTGATCTAGGCCAAATGGAAAAAATGTCATGAATGGTGAACTGTATCATGTCAAAGCAAGCTTTATTAAAATTCATGGTTAAGTCACTTACCCTGTATCTGCAAAAAGGAGAAATATAATAATAGTTGCTTGAGTCCCCTAATTTAATTCTGTGTTTACAGGACTTACTCTGGCCAGTAAGAGCACATTTTCTGTAAAATAATGATAAATTTCAGTTTTTTGAAATTAAAAGCATTTGCCCCTACCTTCTGTATAAGTTGCCTACTCATTCGGTTAGATAATAAATATTTAAGAACCTGCTATGTACCAGGCACAGTTCTAGATGCTGGGCTACAGTGATGAAAAGGACAAAGTCTCTGCCCTTGTGAGACTTACATTCTATTAATAGTATAAGTTTAATGCCGTAACATTAACCATAATTCTAGAAACAGAAACTAGGTGTTTTCCATATATGTCCCATCTTGGAACAAATTTACAAATGAGTAATCAGCTGCAGGACAGCTCTCAGCTTTCCATCACGATTTCAACTTCTCAGTTGAAAATATCCTCATGATGACTGTTCAAGTGTCAAAGTATGTTGATAGCTTGCAGGGTAATAGTTTCCAGATCGGGTATTTGTTTATTTGGTTGGTTGGTTGCTATATATGCATTTAATGTGGGACCTAGGGAGAAGTACAAAGGAATAAGCCACCTTATAAAAATACTGAATCTTAACAATCGTTTATCAAGTTCACTAAATTTCACACCATCCTTTCTATTTGCATATGACAAAAAGCTAAAATTTTATATCAGGGCTTCCTGGCTGGGATTAGGCTATCAGCCTCTTGAGGGCAGGGACTTTGATTCATCTTTAAATGCCTGGCACCAAGCATGTGCCAAGCACACAGCACATGTTCAATGACTGCTGCATGAGAAATGACCCATCTGTTACTCTATGGTTCTGTGAGGTAAAGCTGGCATGTCTATCAGACTGGACTTGCAGCAGCTCAGCTGTCTTCCTCCTAAGCTAGAAACCTGGCTTAATATGACTATCACTCCCCATCAATGCAAAATGAGCATAGCTCTAAGTAAAGTGAGTAGCCAATAGCATTTTATGTGACAGTACAAATTATATAGTAACTACATTAAAAACAATGTTTTAGCGATACTTAAATATAATACAAATGTGCCTCTATATTAAGAACACACACAACAATGTGTATTTGAAATAGGATACTTTTTGAGGTGGCAATTAAAATCAAAAACCAATTCCTATCTTTCTTCAAAAAGCTATTATTTCTTTATTAGCAATTCCTTTAATGATCTGTAACAATATTTAAAAGCACTAACTACCAGCTTGAGGAGGATAGAAGATCTAGAAACTTAAAGCACAAAGTGTTGGAAATCTGTGGAACTTCCAAAAGTATAATTTACACAAGACTAAAATGTGCCATCAATCTGCTAAAAATCAATTTATACACTGTTCTTCTGGAAACAGATATATACCTGCTGGTCTACTATTTAGTTTAATTTTGAAATGGATCTGGTAAGGTGGCTTTAAGTATCAACTTTTAAAATAATAAGTGTTTCCTTTTTTTTAACTTGTAAGTTCAGGAGTACATGTGCAGGATGTGCAGGTTTATTACACAGGTAAACATATGCTATAGGGGTTGTTGTATCCATTATTTCATCACCCAGGTATTAAGCCTAGTATCCATTATTCTTCCTGTTCCTCTCCCTCTTCCCTTCCACAGGTTGCAGTGTGTGTTGTTCCCTTCTATATGTCCATGTGTTCTCATCATTTAGCTTCCACTTGTAAGTGAGAAGAGGCAGCATTTGGTTCTCTGTTCCTACATTAGTTTGCTAAGGATAATGGCCTCTAGCTCCAGCCACATCCCTGCAAAGGACATGATCTCATTCTTTTTTATGGCTGCATAGCATTCTATGGTGTATAGTGTTTCTTAAAAGATCTCATTTCTAAGCCATTTTGTAAATTGGACACACTAATATATTTGTAGTTAAGCCAGGATTCAACGCTAATAGACCTCTGATCTCCAACTCCAATTTTTTTTCCAAATATGCTACACTACATTAATATATCTCTGTAACTCTAGACCCAAGATTTCAAATCCTTGTTTGGCCATTTTCATGTGAGAATGTTAACATGTCTACATATAGACCTGTAATCTCCTTCCACAAACCAAAGCCTTTCCTGTTAATTTCCACAATCACTTCAAATCAGTCTTCCAGTCAGACATCTCTAACTCTTTTCTCCTTTACCTATCTCTCCACCCCAATCTAACTTTTCTTTCTTAAAATCTCTCACATCTTCCCTTTCCTCTCCATACACTCGCCATCCTTTGAACATGCTTTGATTTCTTGTTTCTAGGCCTTCAGTTGTATGTACTGCTCTTTATCCAAATTCCTTTATGCTTCAAACACCTAAACAAAATCTCTCTTCCTTCAAGAAGAGTACCTAATCATAGAAGGAATGATCTGACGTTCTTCAAAACCCTCAGTGCTGTGCCACTGATTTAGCCAATATCTTCACACTCTAGCTCACAAGAGCCATGGCCAGAGCCATACTTCACGTTTCATAAAAGAAGACACTATCTTCCTTCAGTTTTTTCCATATGATATGCATCACAAATGCCTTGGTTTCTGGCCCCATTCCCACAAACACAGTATCCTTAAACTTTGTAAACTGTTCTCTAAATCCAAACTAATAATTATTTTACTAAAGATACTATAAATCCACTTTAATATCCCCATTTGTTACCATTTGATGATATGTGCACATGTATGATATGTGTGACATATAATGCAAGCACAAATTTTAAATTCTACATTAAAATTGTCATATGCCATATTTAAAATGTGGCATAACATAGACTTTAAAAGTACAAAAACTGCTATGATTAAATTTAATTCTCCATATTTGAGGTGGAAGGATCAGAAAAAAAATACTCTTATGTTTGTAGAATTTAAGAATGTAATCCTTTCCCTAAAATTCAGAGGCTACTGTGGTACAGGTGCGGCACTAGGGGAGTGAGGTGGACAGGTGGCTTACAGAGCAAATCAAATATATGACTAGGAACCCTCCAACAAATGATCACCTCAATAACAACATTCTGTAATCTTGCTGAGAATGTAACGAGCATTAATAGGAAACAGAAAGGCATACGCAATTCCCACAACAGCTTTAACAGAGACCTGTTGGTTCATCTCAACCAGACTTTTCCTCTTCTCGCTTCAAAATAACCCTGACAGCAGTCAGTTATGCTTTCTATGAGCGCTCTCAGGCTTTCCAGTCCCCTATATTGATCTGGCTCTTAGCATTTAATAAGCATCTTTCTCAAAAGCTTTCAAAGTCATTTTCTAAACAGAAGACAAGACACAATTATGCTGTGGTTTTAGGCAAAACCTTTCACCTTTGCCAGATGTGTTAAATCTTCCCAAACTATTTTTGATGGTCACCTTCAGAGAGAAGTATTTTATACAGAAACCCAGGACACATGGCTATATATATAAATATAATAAACAAAAATTCTGTTTATGACCCACTAAACTGATTTCACAATGCACGATAGGTCACAATATGAGGTTAACACACACACACATACAACCACTCAGGTTTCTATCTCTAGTTCTATCATATATGTATATTATTGTATTGGGTTGGTGCCAAAGTAATCATGCTTGGTGCCATTACTTTCAATGGCAAAAACCAGGATTATTTTTGCACCAATCTATAATTAAAAGGGCTCTCCTTTGATGCTAAATCTGAAATACTGTATTCCACACTGTCTCAGGAATTCGTCTTTGGGCTACACAGACTCTAAAGAGAAATCTGAGGGAAATATAACTACATTTAAAACCAGAAAAACTAAATAACTACAACCCAAAACATTTCAAAAACAGTCACTTTCACAAGTCATGCATGGAAAAACCTACTTTGGTCCGCCACATTCAACTGCAGAAGCTTTCACAAACCGGATAGGTTGTAATCCCACTGGTTCAATGCTTAGGGTATTGTTTTCCACAGCCTCCAGAACAGCCGAAGCCAACTTAAAAAAATGTATATTAGATGTTACACTGACAGAAAAATATCAAAATTGTATTCTACAGTAAACTAATTTTATAAATTCTTCTTCTCCCAAATTCCACTAGCTTGGCTTTAGCAAATGAAAAAGGAAAAAAAAAATCACACAATTTTGGTTTAGTTTATAATCCAAACACTGTTATGAAAGGCAATTCACTTACGGTAAAATAACTTTCCTCATTATCTGGATGAGAATTAAAGGCATTAATTCCAGTCTCTGTTCACTTCTTACCCACAATTAATATCTACTGTTAATGCCACTTCAAAATTAATATCCTAAAGCTTTATTCTGCTAAATGTATACAATATTTTTAAACACTGGTCATTTATAACACACTAATATATATTAATTAGCTATATATTTTCTGAATTTGTATTTATGTGCACAAGAGTGAGTCTACAAAAGAATTAGCTGAATTATCAAACATTAAATGCCTAGATGAAGATGGCAGGAATTGATACGAGATTTGAAACAGGCAAACTTCTGTAGTCTGTCAAGGCTACTAATACTGAATGGCCTACCTGAAACCAGATACAGAGCCACAATGAACAGCACATATTCATATCAAAAGTGTGAAAAATGTTCATCTTAACTTCTGATAAGTAACATTACAATTAAATCCTTGAAATGTTTAACATTAAGGCTCTTAGGATTAAATTTCTTATACTTTGACAGGATGTTTGTAAACAAACCTTTCACATGTAAGAACGAATTAAAATTACAGCTTAAAATTTTTATACTGCCTTATTTTTCTAAGTTTTTTGTATCTACTTAATCTACTTCATTTTATCTTTTTAACAATCCTGTGGCACAGGCAAAGACATTATTTTTCCTGTTTTAAAGTTAAAAAAATAGGATTTTTAATCATGTATAGATAGACACAACAGATACCTTTAACAGAGTGTGTAGAGAACTTCCCTTACACCGAACCTTAGATTGCAAATCAAGAAATAAGCCCTATACCCTATATCTAGTTAATACCTGACTCCAACACAGTACATGTTAGCGTGAATGAGCCTCTGCTTATATAAGGATGTTCAGTAAGTGAATGCCAAGAAATTATCATGATTCTAATATGGAAGGGCAAAAATAGTAAAACATGACATTTTATAATAACTTATTTAAGAGATATTAATATGCAACATGATTTAGTTTTAAAAAGATAGAAACAACTATAATGTATTCCTAACATGAAAAAAAGTTACCTCGCTTTTTGAGAATGTTAAACATGGAAAGATATCTTCTTGGTAGATTTTGTCTAAAAAAGGACACGTCCTGTCCATTGTGGGCTCATCCTTCCACAATCGGAACTCATTATACAAGGATAAGTCAGCCTATCAAACAAACCAAAGGAAAACACAAAACACTTTTTATAAAGTACAAACATAACCACTTTACAAAACCAAAACTAATTTAAACATCATTGAAAAAATGCTCATTTAAAATAATAAATTGAACCACTCTTGATTAGTTATAACCTGGTAGCAGTTTTCCTTTTAAAAAATGACTCCCAAATAGCCAGTCAGCCTTTTTCCATTATCATCCACTACCATGTTCAATAATACTAACATTATCCTCACCCTGAGCCCCTTCTCCCATTCCCACAAAAAAAGCTGGAGTTCCTCTTAAGACACAAGTGGCACTCTATTCAGAATATAATAAATGATGACAAGTCTGTTCTAAAAATAATAAAAAAGTAATCTGGAACCTAATTAATTGAAGTGTCTGAATAAACTGAGACTGGCTGAACTGTGAAACCTAGTTTGCGATCAAAAATGACACTAATTGTTCTACTATAACTTGTAGGCATTCCCAAAAGAACTGTCAAAACATTTATTGCAGAAGCAACAGGATTAAACAAGAACACATAAAGCCTCCTAAACTGACTACCTTAAAATATAACATTCATTTAGATATTTTTGACATATTTTTGGCATCCAGCAGCTACCATCTTAGGCATCAGTAATAATCCACTGATGGCACCTGCCTTCCTATTTACTCTTCCAGCCGTCCCTCTCTTTCCCACCTCTGTAATAAACCTTCCCCAAGTATTCTTCCTTACAGATTCTCAGATTCCCTAAGTCCAGCTCAATACCATCTGCTGGAATACAAAGTTCCACTGACATCAGCCACCCAAACTAGAGCAGTCTCCTTCATCCTATAGCTCTAAGCCACTCTTGTCCAGAAGCACTGGACACACCATAAATGATGCACTCACTACAGCTACAGCCTGCCTTTAGTATAGCTTAATCAGATGTGCAAGTAGTCTACACGAATGTAACAAAGAGCTGAGGGTAACCAAGCTTTCCTACAGATTTCCTTTTAGGGTGTATAAGGGCAATTTCCATGAGAATTTTTTTTTAGCCCAATTCATAAATTCCTTGAATCAAAGCTAAAAGCAAAAAAAATAAATAATATTAGCATATAAGCAATACTTACATTTTCAAATGCATTTTCTTTCTAAAGTTACTGAGAAAATGAACATAAACCCCAAAGCAGATAAATGGTACTCTAAGATTCTAGTTCAAAGGCAGTAATTTAAACCATTTATTAAGAGCTGACTTTGTGCCAGAAACTACTGTAAGCACTTTACAAACATTTAATCCTCACAACTGTGCAAGAGATATTATGATCCCCATTTGTAAATTGCCCAAGACTGCATAGCAAGTAAGCAGTAAAGTCCAAATTGAAATCTAACTGGCTTGATCCCAAAGCCTTGCACTTGGCATCTATGTCTGCAAGCGTGCATGTGTATTTTAAATGTTACAGAAGACAAACTGCTGCTTTTGTCCTGACTGAGTGCCCCACCATGTTTTCTACAAAAACATAGACATGCATCATTTTCTTCCAGATTGTTACATATTTTATAAGACTTACATAGGTCAAATTTATGTAATCCCTTTGTCTAGTAAGACTTTTTGACAAGCTTTTTATGAAACATCAGAATATAACTCATACCTGGAAAGCAAAGGTTATTATTTTGAAGTTATGTGCTGCCTACACACATTTTAAAAGATTTCAAAAAATTAAAAATGAACCTTTACAATGTTCCATGAGAAGACATTCAAATTTTGTTAGTGTAAATGGGGGGAAGTCCATAATTACTTACACATACTGAGTGAGAAACAGCAAAAATATAAGTTGTACCAGGCAATTAAAAAAGCTATCTAAATTCCAAAGAATTCAAATTAAAGTCAGGACAAAAAAAAAGTTTGTTAAATATTTCACAGAAACCAATGTAAATTTTAGATTTGGTTACATTCAGATTTAACCAAGTATTGAACTTCTCTCTTACCAGCATCTTTTTTGTTAATAATTAGTCAAAATGCAATTCAATTAAAACAGGTTAACAGCATTGGTTATTCCATTTAATAAACTTCTGGTTTCCAGACAAAAATTTAACAAGCACACACATTTCTGCAAGATTAATGATAGACTTGAAACAACAATGTAAAAGATGACTTCTAAGAAGAAATGGGAGAGCTTCATAAATTATTGATCAATCCTCTTAGAAATGCATTCTCATAGTATGCAATGATTAAAAACAATTTTTACTCTAAACAGCTCTAAATATTTATATATTATTTCAGTTATCTTTATAACACATCTTTTAAAATAAGACTACCATTATTTCTTTTTTAAATTTTTAGTTATTATGGATACTTAATAACAGTAGCCTTACATAGTTGTAAGTGTCTGAATAACTGAGACTGGTTGAACTGTGAAACCCAATTTGGGATCAGAAATAACACTAATTATTCTACTCTAACTTGAAATTTCACTTAGCAAAATGTCCTCAGCATTACAAAGTTGTAAGGCTACCATCATTTCTATTTTTTGTTGCTTAATTATCTGAATTAACTCTAGGACTCCCTTACTGATATAAAATTCCTTCTTCTCTCTGAATTTAAATGAAAGTGCACTGATCTTTAAGAAAACCATCTTATTTTCACATATTTCTTATGTTCATATTTTGTAAGAGCACTCTAGAAATAAATTTGGACTAGTTAGATCACTAAAGCCACCCACTACCCTCTAGACAACACATAATAGTTTCCTCCCTTAATGAAATATTGAGATTAAGAAACTTACCAAGTTTCCAGCAGGTACTCCAAGGTCAGTCAGGTAGAGAATGGAACTGAAGAATCCCTGAAAGCAGCCAGCTCTAGATAAAGCCTCCCCCATCTTAATACTGCATATTTTGTACTAAAAATTTTGCTGGCCAAAATGATAACTGACACCTCAGTGATGAGAATTAACAAGTATCAACAGAGTCAGAGGGGACAGTCCTTGACGAGTTACCTCTTTGCAGTCTTTTACAATTGGCTGTATCACACTGAGGTCCTGATGACTGCCACTCATAGCACTGCTTGTGCTTTTATTTCTTGTATGCCCCTTTTTAAAAGGTGTCTTTCCACCTGGCAGAGGCTCCTGTGTAGGTGAAGTTGGAGAACTGGACAATACAAGTGTCTTCAGTGCAGCTACTTCAGCTTGAAGTACATCAATCTTGAAAAAAAAAATCAACATAGTCACATACATTAAATATGTTTTATAACAGATGCAGCTAAATATTAGCAATCTGGTCAAAACACTTTCAGAGATGAAAAGTAACTTTTAATTTCTATTTCCTGTGGAGTAATAAAGAGAAAGTAAAATCAAGTTTTTTGATGTTTCCATACGGTTTGGATTCATCTATTAATTCACGATGTCAAATGAATTTGTGAAAATTATCAAAATATCTAACATTTCTGTGAATTTTCAAAATATAATAGCTTATGATTAGTTGTAGAAGTTCACTGCTAAAACAGCAAAATCTAGTAACATTTAGGTGGCTTTTCTCAGTGAATTTTAAAATAAGTATTAACTTTAAAATGTGATTCTATAATCCTTTGGATAATTCATGTGATTTACAAGGCTTTAATCATTTGGTTATCACATAAATGGACACCAAATGTTCACTATTAATTATATATACATAGTAGCTATTTTCTTCTATTATTCTGCAGTTTCCAAATTGAAAACAAGCACTACTTTACCATCAGAACGAAAGCCAACAGATGTTAAGGTATCTTTAAAATAGTTATCACTAATTATTTTATACTATTAAGAGCAGCAAAAACTTACTTTTCCTTGTGCTTCTTTTAGCTGTTTTTCTGCTGTTGCCTGCTTGATATTTGCTTCTCTCACCATTTTATGAGCTTCCTGAAAAAGTTAACATCTCAAATTTTGGAAACAAAGTAGCATTTGTTTTCAAAAAGCTTTTTGCCTAGTGTTTATGACTGAAGCAAGAATATACTACCAAAGGTTACCCTGAAAATAAGTATTCAATGTCAACTACCGAAGCAGCAGTTGAAAAGAGAGAGACAAACTATGAGACATCAGGAATAGGTGCCTTCTTTTAGGACCTATTACCACTGAGGCAGCCAAGTTGAGATCAATCCTCCTGATTAATGCTTGTGTAAAGACTGTGAATGTGATGAAGGCAAACAAACAATGACCAACATGTCAAAGCCAACTCCTTTGCAGCCACATTTTTATAATGCCATCACTATATATGTTCTTATTAGTCACAGCAAAGACATACAGGAGGGATAAGTAAAAACATTAACACACCAATAATGTTGCAGTTTACAGTAATGACAACTAAGAAGTCTTAGGGCTTCCAATAAAAACATTCATAAAGTTATACTGACAATTTTGTGCAAAGCAACCTAAAAAGGCAGATAAGAGTTTAACCCTTTAATAGTTTTAATCTTCTAGTTCCACAAGTATGGAACTCTAGGTATTTAATTCCCCTTTATTCATATAATGTTTATTTATGAAACATTTAATCATTTCACCTCCTTGTGAGGTGCTGCTGCTCCAGATATTGATTACCTACTGGGAAAAAAAGTCCCTGTTCTTAAGGAGCTTACATTCTGATTATATGTATTAATAAAATAAAATATCAGGATAAGAATTACAAGTTTTATTCTAAATGCAATATGAAGCCTTACAGTTTTTTTAAGCAAGAAAGAGAAATGATCTTTTTATTTTTAAAAGATTATACTCCTGTATAGAATAATCCCTATAAGGGATTAAGAATGGACTGGAAGCCTACATAGGGCACTTGAGCTAGTGCCCTGGGATTTAAGTACTTATGTTTTAGAACTTCAATTTACAGTTTATCAGAGGAAAGAAGAAAATGAGCTTCAAAGGTATTTAATAATAGTTTGACAATGGCACTTTCACTAGGTCTGTCAAAATGCACAGTTGTAGAATGGAAGAGTGGAAGTTCTTTACATCAGAGTTTGACTGTTTTCCCATTTGCTCATTTGCTTTCACAGTACTGTAATGATTGCAGTTTATGTGTGCCCATGAATGTGAATTTGCAGCTTACATTAAAAAGGATAATCTTTACTATCAATGATTTGTAACAAAATGATATGAACCATGAAGATATTCCATGCAGTATTATTCTGGCTACCTTGCAAAGTCCTTAAGAGCTGTCAAATTTAGAATTAAATATTCTCCTTTTAAAAAAAAACAAATGTTTCAGATTTGCTGTATTTCTTCTGGCATAAGTGGCTGTCCACAGAAAAGTACTTGGCAGTATTTTAAAAATACTAAGCCCAAGTAATCTGACTCTTCAAGATAAGCAATATTTTAGCTATAAATGCAAAAGTAATTCATACTATGGAGAGAACAGTTGATGAAGTTTTTGGAAATGGACCTTGTTTTCATTAATAGTGAATTACGCAATTTGGACCAAACCTCTAATGAAGAACAGTTAGAAGAGCTAGGTAAGTTTTTTGTTTGTTTTTAAAATGCGTTTGAAGGTATTTGAGAACAAAATAGCAAAGTAAACTTAGAAGCGATGTGAAATTTTAGGTGACGTTTCCACTACAGACATAAGGATTACAGTGAAAAGGTATAACATACATGTAACTGGAGCCCCAAAAGGAAAGATGAGCACTAGACTGGGACAGGATAGGTATCTAAAAAGATAACATGCAGAATTTGTACAGAATTTTTTAAAAATTGACAAAAAATCAAAAGTTAGATTCAAAAAAGTTTTAAACTTTTTCCATCACACTGTCCTTCCAAAGCTGAAAATAATATAAGTATCACCTATACCAGGAGTCAGCAAACTTTTTCTGTAAAGAGTCAAACAGTATGTATACATATACAGTCTGAGTTGCAACTTCTCAGCTCAGCTCTGCTGTTGCAATGTGAAAGCAGCCATAGATAATACACAAATTAATGTGGCTATTTTAATAAATATTTATTAACACTGAAATATACATAACATTTTCTTTTTCTTTCAGCATATCCAGCACCTCTCAGTTACCTTTTTTTTAGAGGGGAGGTGGTGAGCACACAAGATCTACCTTTTTACCAAAGTTGTAACATACAAAATAGTCATTATGCTGTACACTGGGTCTTCAGAATTTATCTATCCTGCATAACTGATATCTTGTACCACTGAGCAAAATCTCCCATTTCACCCAACCCTGACAACCACCAATCTACTCTGTGCTTCTATGAGCTCAACTATTTTAGATTTCACATATGAGTGAGATAATGTAGCATTTGTCTTTCTGTGTCTTGCTTATTTCACTTAACAAAATGTCCTCCAGGTTCACTCATGTTGTTGCAAAAGGCAGAATTTCCATTTTCTTTTAAGACTGAGTAGTATTCACATACACACACATACCCCATATTTTTTTTATCCATTCATCAATAAACATTTAAATTGTTTCTATAACTTTGCTACTACGAATAATGCTCGAATGAACACAGAACATGTAACTCACCAAGTTAGCGATTTTCTTTTGGATACATATACCTGGAAGTGGAATTGATGGATCATACAGTAGCTTTAATTTTTTGAGGAGAAACTTCCATACTGTTTTCCATAATGGCTGCACCAATTTGCATCCCCACCAATAGTGCCAATAGTGTACAAGGGTTCCTTTTCTCCACAGACTTGCCAACATTTGCCATCTTTTGTCTTTTAATAACAGCCACTCTAACAAGTGCAAGGTGCTATCTCATTGGGGTTTGATTGGCATTTACCTGATGATTAGTGATGTTGGGTACCTCATCATACACCAGTTGGCCATTTGTAGGTCTTATTAGGAGAAATGTCTATTTAGGTCCCTAGCCCATCTTTTAATTGGGTTGTTTTTTTGCTACTGCATTCCTATTTTGGATATTAACTCCTTATCAAATACATGGTTTGCAAATAACTTCTCCCATTCAGTATGTTGCTTTTTCATTTTGTTGACTGTTTTTTGCTGGGCAGATGCTTTTTAATTCGATGCACTCCCACTTCTCCACTTTGCTTTTGTTGCCTCTGCTTTTGGTGTCACATTCAAAAAATCATCGTCCAGACCAATGTCAAGAAGCTTTTTCCCTGTTTCTTCTGAGTTTTACAGTTTCAGGCCTTAGATATTAAGTCTTTAATCCAATTTGAATTGATTATTCTTTATGGTGTGAGATCAGGGTCTAATTTCATTCATTTGCATGTGGATATCCAATTGTCGCAGCAGCATTTATTGAAAAGACTACCTACACCCCAGTGGATGTCCTTGGCATCTTTGTTGAGGATCAGCTAACCATAAATGTGTTATTTCTGGGCTCTCTATTCTATTAGTCCATATGTCTGTTTTTGTATCATTATCATACTGTTTTGATTTCTGTAACTTTGTCATGTATTTTGAAATTGGGAAGTGTGATGCATCTAGCTTTATTTTTCTTGCTCAAGATTACTGTGGGCATGGTGGCTCATGCCTGTTATACCAGCACTTTGGGAGGCTGAGGCAGGTGGATCACTCTCGCCTCCTGGCCAACATGGTGAAACGCTGTTTGTACTAAAAATACAAAAATTAGCTTGGTGTGGTGGTCCACACCTATAATCCCAGCTACTCAGAAGGCTGAGGCAGGAGAGTCACTAGAACCTGGGAGACGGATGTTGCAGTGAGCTGAGATCACGCCATTGTGCTCCAGCCTAGGCAACAGAGACTCCATATCAGAAGAAAAAAAAAAGATTACTTTGGCTATTAACGTCTTTTGTGGTTCCATATGAATTTTCTACTTCAGTTAAAAAATGCCATTGGATTTTGATAGGGATTGCACTGCATTTGTACATCACTTGGGTAGAACAGACATTTTAACAGTATTAATTCTTCCAACCAAAGAAAGCTCTTTCCACCTGTGTCTTAATTCCCTTCATGAACTATACTATGATTTTCATTATACAAGTATTTTGGCCTCTTTGGTTAAGTTTATTCTTGAGTATTTTATTCTTTTTGACACTGAAATTATGAGATTGTTTTCTAAAATTCCTTTTCAGATAACTGGTTGACTGTGTAAAGAAACATCATTAATTTTCATATCCTGCAACCCTACCAAATTCATTTATTAGTTCTAACTTTTGTTGTTGTTGAATTTTGTCTTTAGAATTTTCTGCATTTGTGATCATGTCATATGCACACAGATAGTTTTATTTCTTCCTTTCCAATTTGGTTGCCTTTTCTTTTTCGTGTCTGATTGTGCTAACATTCCAATACCATGCTATACAGAAATGGTGAAGAGTGGGCATCCTTGTCTTATAACAGATCTTAGAAGAAAAGCTTTCAATTTCCCCCACTGATTATGATGTTGGCTATGGACTTTTCACATATGGCCTTTATTATCTTTTAAGTTCCTACATCTATTTTGTTGAGAGTTTTTACCATAAATGAATGTGGAATTTTGTCAAATCCTTTTTCTGCTTCTATCAAGATGATAATGTATATTATATCATTCTATTGCTGTGGTTTATCACACTGATTGATTTTCCTATGTTGATGCATCCCTGCATCCCAGGGACAAATATCATTTGGTCATAATGTATAACCCTTTTAATATGGTATTGAATTTGATTTTCTAATATTTTATTGAGGGATTCTACACCTATGTTCATTAGGAATATTGGCCTACAGATTCTTCCTTGTGGTACATTTACTGACTTTGGTATCAGAGTGATATTGGCCTCATAAAATGAGTTTCTAAGTGTTTCCTCTTCAAATTTTTAAGTGTAAAAAGAATTGGCACCGATTCTTCTTTGAATGTTTGGTAGAATTTACCTGTGAAACCATCTAGTCTTGGGCTTTTTTGTTTCTACGTCTTGAATCCGTTTTCTGGAATTTGATTCCAGAAAATGGTCTAGGAATTTA